GGAAACGATATTCAAGAAAAGTCTTCTGTCTGCCCCTAAACGTCTTCAGCGAATGTTGTTAAGGCTTCAAAGATACGAGTTCGACGTCACGTACGTGAAAGGAACGCAACTTATCATGGCGGATGCATTGAGTAGGGCTTTTCTCTCGCATCCAGAAATAATGCGTGATGGGGAGCAGGGTCCGCAAGTACTCGTAGTTGACGATGTCGTAGTCGAAGATGTTAGATCTCCCACTGAGATTGCAACCGAACAAGTCAAGATGCTTCAGTATCTGCCTGTCAAAGAAGAAACCCTTCAGAGAATTAAAACAAGCACACGTGAAGACCCCGAGCTTAAGATTCTGGAGCAAGTGATCAAGCAAGGTTGGCCGGAGTCAAAGAAGGAAGTTCCAGCACAGGCTTTGAAGTATGTAGCTTTCCGAGAGGAGTTAACAGCGCAAGATGGAATCATTTTCAAGGGAGAACGTGTGGTCGTACCTCGATCCTTGCGTAAAGAGTTCACAACGAAGGTCCACGTTAGTCACCTGGGGATTCAAGCGTGTCTTAGACGAGCTCGGGAAGTATGGTATTGGCCAAACATGAATAAAGAGATTACTGAGTACATTTCAAAATGTCAGACATGCAAGACATACTCTCAAGAGCAACAGAAAGAACCCATGATTCCATATCCAGTACCTTCTAGACCGTGACAAGTAATTGGAACTGATCTGTTTGAATTCCAAGGAAGAAACTATCTTGTCACCACAGATTACTATTCAAATTTCTTCGAAGTTGATAGATTGTATTACACAACATCAAAAGAAGTTATTTGTAGATTGAAGGCTCACCTAGCCAGGCACGGTATACCAGACAGAATGGTAAGTGACAATGGACCTCAGTTTACCTCGGAAGAATTCAGACAATTCGCCGATGCTTATGAGTTTCAACATGGTACGAGTTCGCCTGATTATCCACAGTCGAATGGAAAGTCTGAGAACGCTGTAAAAACTGCAAAACGAATAATGGAGAAGGCGATGGCAGTTGGAGCAGATTCCTACCTAGGATTCCTGGATTTCCGAAATACTCCAACTGAAGGTTTGGATACGTCACCGGTGCAGCGTCTGTTTGGCCGTCGGACAAAAACACTCCTACCCACATCCAGCAGATTACTGTCGATGAGAAAGGACGATTCGAGTACGGAGCGAAAGTTGAACGACAGGAAAAGAAAACAAATGTTTTACTATAACAAAGCGTTGAAGAGTTTAAAGCCGTTAAAGGAAGGAGATACGGTGTTTGTGAGACCGGCGAGGAGATCGAAAGAGTGGAAGCGAGCTACTGTCAACAAAGCAGTGGGAATTACGTCATATGGGGTAACTACGGAGCAGGGAAGCAAGATAAGGAGAAATCGGAGACATCTGCGTTTAGCCAGCAATGAACAGTCTCCGTCAAATACAGTTAGTGCGAAATATATCGGGGTGTACGTAGATCCGCCTAGACCATTGATAACGGACAGTAATCAGATAGATCAACCTGATGTCGGAGAAACGAGAACAACGATGGACAATTCAAGACCATTGACAACGGACAGTAATCAGATATACCAGCCTGATGTCGGAGAAACGAGAACAGAGATTGATGATTCAAACGACAGTACCCAGGTATCCCAGTCTAGGAACATGCAGTCCCCTATACGGTATAGTTCGAGAGGGCGTGTTTTAAGAAAACCTGTTTACTTAAAGAATTATGACTACTAAAAGATAATGATGAACTTTTAATTAAATTAGTGACTGTTTACTATTAAAATTTAGTAATTAGAACTTGACAATAACTTGTTGGTGGACTTTAAGAAATTTAGCTATCCAATTGTTAGCACAAAAAAAAAATATAGAGTAAAGTGTAGTTAGGATTTAATTATAGGATTTATTAATTAACGATATAGTTAATATTATGTAAAAGAAGGGAGATGTGTCGGTATTTGTATTAGCATTTTACAAGACAATTAGCATACCATAGAATATGTAATTATGTATAAAGGGCTGTCTCATGATTAAGCCAGCATCATTTGGAATGCATACTTGTACGAAGATAGACCGGTTTTACTGTTAGATATATCTTAATAAAACATTCTTATAGTTAAAACTCTCTTACATTCGACGTTACAGTAACCACTTGCGTGGGGTGGTTAAACAGTAAAGTTACATAAAGTAAAGAATGATTAACGACCGCTTACAAGCATTTTTAACATGATTGAAAAATATACGCGTAAAAATTGAGAAAATCAGCAACTTGTTCCAGGTTGATATCAACATGCAGGCGTGAACAAGCTCACAGCAAAAAATCATTTTCTTATTAAGAAAAAAAAATTCTTAATTTGAGAAAAAAATTCTTAAAAGAAGAAAATAATTTTCTTAATAAGAAAAAATTTTCTTAAAAAAGAAATTTTTGAATCCCAAGATATTTTTTTCTTGAAATAAGAAAAAAATACTTAACTTAATTTAGACTACATCTATTTTCTTAAAATAAGAAAATTTTTCTTATGATTTCTTAGTTAGCGTGTGAAAGCATTTTCTTAAAATATAAAACGATTTTCCTATTTTAAGAATATGTTAGTAAAACAAGAAATGAAATTCGTAAAATAAGAAATTATAGAATAGTGAGACATTATTTCTTAAATTTTCGAAGCAGGAAATGTAAAATTTTAGTGTTATACTTATCTTTAGAACAACGTATATCTTATTGCGTCAGTCACTAGCATAGTCGTTAACTTGTTAATTTGTAGTTTTTATTTCGAATTGAAGTGACTATATGATCGGCAGCCGGTTACGGTTTATCAAATACTAAATGGCCGGCAGTAGCCGGTACAGTGACTATACAATGACTGAATTTTTATAAGATAAACCGATCCCCAAACCCTTCTCTAACCTTAACCCCTAACCTTTTGAGAGTTTATAGACCGGCTGCCGGTAATATAGTCACTTTGTTTTTATTTAGTTTCCAAAATTTGAGCTCTTTTCAGTGCTATTGAGTATTGAATCGTTGAAGAGAATTTTTATCCTCTGGAATTTTTATCCAGCAGGAATAGTTCGCGTATTGACTAAACGCCTGGTACCTAGTTTACCTTTTAGAACGCGGAACATCGCGGGATAGCGTCGTTTTAAATTTTTTTTGTGAAAAATTTTATAATATGGAAATATTAAAGAGCGCTTTGCAGGCAATTTAAATGGCAAATAACGATGGAAAAGGCATCAGAAAGACCTTAAATTGTTATTCAGATGTCACAGGTAAGAATAATTGTATATTTGACTTGTTATTTAAACACATTCATTGCGAAATAATGTAGTGAATATGATTGTCATTGTTTACTTGAGCGTTGTGTCTGAAAATATTCCCTTGAATGTTTGAATTTGCCGCGTTCGTTTTGCATATAAAACATACAAATATTGCTTTCAGACAACGGACGATAGATTAAAATATAAATTCAAATCTATTTTTGTGAATTCCATACTAATTTACGCACTAATATTAACAATTTGATAATATTAAATTGCCTTTGACATTGGCACTTTGCTAGACCTTTGTCAAGACTCAAGGGGAATATAGTGATATGAAATAAGATATTAAGCATGCGAATGTTTTTAAAGATCTGTTAACATTTTAATACTTGAATAAGGATTGGAATTACAGAAGAATTACAGCATTTAATGTGATATTTTCAGTGTATAGATAGCTGAATAACTGAATTGTGTCCTACTTTATTGTTTTACTATGTCTACTGCATGCCAGAGGATTTTACTATTCGCCTTGCCGGATAACTCAGCTACAGTAGAGAATGTATAGTTTTCCCGACTTACTGTTTACAACTTTATGTGGGGCAATAAATATACTTCACCCGGAAAAACTCTGCAACTCTAGATAGAATGTATACGCCTTGCATTTGAAATAATTGCTCAAAAATACATACAAATCATTAGGTATAAGCTTTCCTGAATTTCTAGCGGCTTAATTATTCCTGCATATTTTGTAACCATGTTTTTTAACCCTTTTCGAATGACCCAAATTGTGTTTGTATTTTGACATTGTGCGGCAATCATAGGGCAACTTGATTTCATATACCGGTAAAAGTAGTATAGCAACTAGCGTGTCGACGACCCTCGACTTTCTATGGTTTTTCCGTGAACCGAAATCCCACCGGCTCAATCTGAATTTTTTAATCATGATTTTATTTTCTAGACCACATTGGTTTTTCTAGCGCTAGATTTTCCAGCTAAACTAAAACGATTTACTTCTCTCACATCTTCAAATTTCAACTCCACCAATCTTATTCAATTCCTCTATTCTAAAGCCTTTTTAACATCTTTTGTTTCACCCTTGAGGGTACACAATGGACCGTAACTTCCTGGTTCGGATACACTGTTTAAGTCATCTTTTTTACCCTGGTATCATCTGTTGGTACACCTAAACCCTTCACCTCATTACCATCCATCTCAATGTCACCCTTCATGGTAAATCCATCCTTATCAAACACACTACCACTTGATGGGTCAACTTTATTTACTCCCTTATTGTATCCCCTGTAAAGAGCCATTTTTTTATAACATACACAATGTTTACAAGAACATTCTCATTAGAATAAATACAACTGTAGCACCAATCCCAGCTCCAGCAATAGCGCTAACTCCTGAAGACTCATTACTGTTAACCGTAGTTCTACGAAAGGAGTTGCTTGCCTTAGGTGTAACCATAGTTTTACGAAGGGAATTGCTTGCCTCAGGGGTAACCCGTGGTTTTACATATTCACTAAGAGTATCAAGGTGACTAACAGGTGTTGTATCCTGATGCACCTTCTTTGGAGTATCAGCTTTTTTAACACCAACATAGTTTACCTTAGTATTAACACCAAATTTAACACTAGAGTCAGGTTTAAGTAGAATATCATTGTACCCAGGAATAGGATCCTTTAGTATTACCAAATTTGATGGGAACAGGATAATGTCAGGGTTTATTGCTGTATTTACTATTGCATTTGTATCTCTAATCGCAACTCTCATATTACTGATTCCAACTGCAACATCAGTCTGAACTACAACATCCTCCACAAGTTTACGGAAACCTTTTTGGGATAATAAAGAGGAGGTTCCACGGTTTACTATAGCCCACCTAGTATTAGCTTGAGCTCCAAGGACACAGTATACGTAACACTGTAGACTTTCCTGTATAAGGGAGGTATCAACAAGTCCAGCACTTTTATTCGCGTAATATCTCAAGTAGTCGTTTGTACTTGCGAGGGAAGACTTACTTGTAAGCTCGTCATAACTAATCCCAACAATCATTCCAGACGTATTTTTAGCATACCTAACATTTCTATGTTCATTTCTAAACCTCCTATACACAATTCCAATAGATGCCCTACTACTACTGAACTTATCAGTATCCCATTGACCTTTGACAGGTATATTGCTGGATATTACTTTTAACTTATCGGAGTATTGCTGAAGTAAACTAGGATCCCTAATAGACCTTCTAACCCACAAGTACACGTGAAAGTTCATAATAGATGTTATAATAGGATTTACATCTACCTGAGGACTTGTATGGTAAGTAGAGATACCACATAAATATGTCGATATATAGGCACCACATATTGCCGCATAATAAGGTAAATCCTTTTTGAAGGTTGGTGTAACATTATCAAGACTAATATAATCATCAATCTTAGGAAGGTTACTATAGAAGAATTCATTATTACTTACATAAACCTTAAAGTTGGAGATAGGATCAGTTTTTGTAATAGGAGGGTACTTTCCAATAACAGGATCGCCTTCAGTAAAACTTATCTTCTGAACTACACCTCCACTAGACCACACTGCAGGCCACCCGGAATCTCTAGGTAATACCTCGGGAGTACCTTTCTCTCCAGCTACTACCTCCAGTGGAGGCTGAACCATGTCAGTCATAGGTACAAACTGTACTGGAGTAATAATTTTCTTAGTACCTGTGAGATAAGATGTAAACTTCTTATTATTCCTAAAACCGTCATATCTAATGTCATATGAAGATATACCATCTAAATCAACAAACCAGGTGATAACTCCTATGTCACCACTACTAGTAGCCTTTGCTTCAAACTTAAACCTCTTCATATCAGCGTGAGGGAATCTTTTAATAAATCTAGCCCTCTCAGCATTCTCTGCATTTTTACCAGCAACAGGATCAACATGATCTTCATCTTCCTTTCCATACTTATTTTCATAGTCCTGATACGATCTATACGGCGACTTACCGATTTCTCCTCCACCTAGTCTCATTCTTAATAACCTAACGTATGTTATTAAGATGAAGTTCACTATTTTACTTCAGAGCTCGCACACTATTGTATCACTACAGAATTCAGTTCTTACAAGCAATTATAATTCAGTCTTTATGAAGAGAGTATCAGTTTTCTGGGAGTATTTCAATATAAGGGAACCAACAACTATTCTCAAAGTGAAAACAGATGATGGAGAATCTGATGTGATCATTCATAAAGGTTACTACACATTTGACAGTATAAAGAAGCTACTTGAAAGACACGGTGTTAAGCTAACCTACTTTGCTGAAACAGCAGGATGCCAAATAGAGGCAGTAAAACAGGATATCACAATAGAAACACGATTACTAACCATGTTAGGTTTCAATAGATTTTTTAATCCTATGATCCTACTAAAAGGGAGGAGTTTGACA